ATATATATATATATATATATATAGACACACACACACTAAGGAAGGAGCATGTGATCTGAACAATAAGAAAGATTGATTTTGTTTTGCTTTCTGGTTTGTCGTGATGCTGCATTGAGCAACTTTATGTAACTGCTAAGGTATAACCATGATCCATCTTGTATCTTATATACACTGGTATTGAGGTTGTCAGAGTGAAGTTACTTCTCACAATTTATTATTCACTAACAATAGACAACTGTTGCTCTAGGAGGCGCATCATATATTGCATTCTTGGTTAAATTAATTAATCATTTATAAATACAAAAGCATTTATAATGTGATCAACTTTTTTCTATTACTACGTGACAGGGAAATGCTGCATTCAAAGGAAAACAGTGGAACAAAGCTATTAACTACTACTCTGAAGCTATCAAAATAAATGATACCAATGCGACCTATTATTGCAACCGGGCAGCTGCTTATCTAGAACTTGGATGGTATGTGCATTCTACAAGTAAGTAATAATGTACCCTGGTCTCTGAGTACTTACCATTATTATTTAACTTTGCAGCTTCCAGCAAGCAGAAGCAGACTGCAGTGAGGCAATATCGCTTGATAAAAAGGTAATCTGAAAGTTTACGAATAGTCCTATTATCTTGTACCACCTTCTGCTCCATCCAATGTTAAAAATGGAGTTGTGAGTGACCTTCTGGCTTTCTATTGCTTGAGTTACACAAACTAAATCATAGTTCCTCAACATAAAAATAAAGTTCTCGTGTGTTAAATATTGGGTTAATTTCACAACCCCCTAAACTTTGGGGTGTTGCACATAACCCCTCTAAACTATGGGGTGTCTGACAACCCCCCCTGAAGTTTAGCTAATCTCATCTAGTCTCCCTACCTGTAATTTGCAAAATACTAAAATGCCTTTGAGTGAAAATTTTCCAAACTTAAACACCTCTCATTTACATGCAACATACTCCTTCCTCTAAAGTTTAAGTTTTTAGAAAATTTTAGTTATTTGCTCATTACAAGTAGGGGGGTTAGGTGAGAGTAGGTCTGTTCATTTGGGCCAGGCCAGCTCGACCCGAAAATCTGGGTCCAGACCGGACAAAATGGGTGACTCGGACATAGACCCGGACCCAAACCTAGACCCAGACCCGGACCTAGCTCAGTAGGGCCAGTTCGGCTTTGGGTCCAAGCCTGAACGAGGCGGATACTAGGCCGGCCTGGTTGTTTTCCTTTTTTACAATAATTTGCTTAAAAATTAGTTTTTTTTTGCAAAAGCAATGAAATTTCAAGAGTAATTAAAATCTGTGAAATTTTGACAAAAATTCAATCATATTATTAATCACTTATAATTATACAATTTACAAATACAAATATCAACAACACAACAACCACTACAACCAAGCCTTTATCACAAATATTTGGGGTCAGCTACATGAATCTTATTCTTCTATTCCATTCCGTTATGAGTTATCTCATTCATTAAGTTAGTCCTAATCATATCCTTCTTAACTGTTTCTAATCAAATTATTCTAGGTCTACCTTTAGATCTTCTAACCTAATTAACTATAATATTATTGTTTTTCTTAATCGGTGCACTAAGTGGTTTCCATTGTACATGACCAAACCATCTTAATTTATTCTCTCATTTTATTCTCAATAGGAGCAACATCTAATTTACTACGAATGCACTCATTTTTTATTCAATCTTTTAGTGTATACCTATAAGATCATCACATCATACTCATTCTGCTACAATTATTCTTTAGACATGTTTTTTAATTGCCCAACACTCTTAACCCATAAAGCATAGGTGGTCTTATAATCGTCTTATAAAATTTTCCTTTAATTTCTTTAGTATTCTACGATCATATAAGATTCCCGAAGTACTCCATTTCAACCATCCCGATTTAATTCAATGCACAATATCATTCTCTATCTCACCATTATGCCTAATGATTGATCGTAAATAGCAAAAATAATTAGTTTTAATTATTTCTTAGCCATCAATATGCACCATAGAAAGTATAAAATTTTTATTACAAATACAAATATCATAGAAATTAAAATAATAAAAACAATTTTTTTATTAATCACCAACAATTATATATATTTTTTGGAATTTATCGCATCACAATAGATGAATCCAATTCAACTAGGTTGATATCTATTCATCTATATCACTATCATTTGTAATTTTTTTAAAATAATTTATTACAAATTTACAGCTAAGAAATAAAAAATACAAACTAACGACTAATTTCTACTCTTATCTCTATCTTTATCTCCTACTGTTAACTCATTAAGTCTATCTTCAACTAGTCATCACATTGATGCCTTGTATTCTTTTCTCGGACCTCCACCAATCTTGTAGGAATATTACCGCATGTATAGTAGACGGATCTAGAGATATCCTGTAGTCGTCGATCAAATGTCCTAATGTGCTAAAGGCGGATTCTGAAGCTACTATAAAAATCTGTATTGTTAGTAAGTCATGAACCATGATGAAAAGTCTAGAATATAAAATTGTTTTATATACTCTACACCATTGTAAAATATCAAAATTATTATTTTGAGAATTGACAAAAGGTGTAGCTATATATTGTTCAATTTTGAGAAAATTTTCTTGATGATGATCCAGGTGCAGATTTATGGCTGCTAGTTAGCCTTGCTATCATTGATTGCCTATCAAAAATCTTACCTTTGACACGTTTTGAACTTTTAGAAGCTGTAGGTTGAGGTGTACTTACATCATATCTACTTGCATACTCATCGTATAATTTTTAAAAATAATATTTAATAGTGTTATGATGAGTAAGAGCAGTAACAGTCCGACCATCATTAGTGTCTATTATCATGTTCATATACAAAAAATTTAACAAATTTTGAAGGTCAATATCCTTCAAACATGGATGAATAAGAACTCTAAACCATAAATAATAAGAATAGGTCTAAAATATTTATTAAATTTACTTTCCATTTAAAAAATCATGTCACAAAGAATTATCCATGTGATAATTAGTAAAAAATGTTTAAATACTTAAAACTTGTAAAGCAGTTAGAATAGTAGTTAACATAGTAGCTTCATAAAAAACTTATATCATCTCTTTTACACTACATATAACTGACCATTCATCATTAGTTATTCCACACATACTACCAGAGCTAGAACTAGAAACATAAAAAACAATGGAATCATTTATAATTTTTCTTATATTCTATTGCTATATTTAACATTGCATAGATGAAATTCCACCTGTGCTCAACATTTTTTGGAATTAACTTGGGTTTTAAATTTTTCTTCTATACAATTGTTTCCATCTTTTAAGTTTTTGTTCATAAGGCTATAACCCTAACTTTTTCTATTATGAGTTTAATTTTATTAAATGTATTTTGAACAATTAAATTTAAAATTTGACACATGTATCTAATATGAAAAATACCACTCTGACATGGCAATAGTAAAGATGATTTAATATGATCTAAGGCTACATTTAATGTTACATTAAATGCTGGATGCTTCTAGGCGTCGGACTTGGCGACCAGCGCTTAGTCGCTTAGGCGGGCGCCTAAACGGTTTCTGGGCGTTTTTTCTTTTTCTTTTTTTAATTGTGATACTTGAAGATATATATATATATATATATATACCCAATCTAAAATGCATAAATACTAAAATGCCAATACTATTAACTAAATTGTTTGGTTTACCAATTACAATAGCTCTTTATATGTTTATACTTCTCAACTCAAATTATAAGTTCATCTCAACTCAAATTACAATATGTATTAAATTCATATAAATTTTTAAAAAAGATAGCAATTTTAGTTCCATAATAAATCATGCATACTTAGATACTAAATAACCAAAATAATAATTAACAAGGCTAGAGACTAAGATGTTTTTTTTATTTTTAATTACAATAATCGATAGTGAATGTCAATGTTACAGAAAGCTTAGATGTCAGACTGGTGTCTAGACGGATTTTTTTTCTTCATTTAAGTGGTGGTCGATGAGGTTTTGTTAAAGGTCGGAGGAGGTAGTGGATGTGTTCATATTTGGAGGTTAATGGAGTTTGGAGGACGTGTAGGCTACAACACATAAAATCACAACTAAGGCCTACATGGTGCAATCTACGTAAGCAGATAATGTTCCCCTAAACGCTCATAAAATCTAGATGGACAGCCTAAATACTGCCTAAGCGGTAGACGCTAGTTAGGCGACCTAGGTACCGTCTAAGCCTAGGCGAACGCCTAAGCGGACTAGGCGGAGGTTTTTTAAAACTGTGGCTACATTATTATTACTTGCATTATCTAGTGATTTTTTCAGAAATTTCTAATTTTAAAAGTTTTTTCGTTATTAAATTTGTAACATTAACAACAGTATGTGAATCTTCAAATGCTATAAAAAAATAATTCTTTTAAATATTTTGCCAGTATAATTAATCTAGTGTGCTATAATACATAAATAACCAGTTTGTACTCTAAATATTCAAATATCAGAGAGTATAAGAGAGTGTGTTGGAGAGTATTAGAGAGTATTAGAGAGTGTTAGAGAGTATAAGAGAGTATTAAAGAGAATTAGAAGAGTTTTAGATTAGAAAAATAAATGAAAACCGGTCTATTTATGGAGGCAACCCCTTAGCCAAATGACCCAAATGACCAAAATACCCTCGAATTTTGGTCTTTTGATCGTTCTTGGGGTACTTTGGTCAAATACACAAAAATAGCCGTTCTTGGCTATTTTTGCTATCTGTATTGGGCCGGGTCCAAATAGCCCGGTTCAACGGTCAGTTTTTGGACCGTTTGGAGTGGCCACACAACCATTTTTTTATTGTTAGACCGGGCCGGTACCGGGTCGGGTCCAGGCCGCATGGTCCAACGGTCAAATTTTTGCTCGTCTGGACCCAGGTCTGGCCGAACTAGCCTGGTCTACCTTTCGTCGCTAGGTCCGGGCCAGTCCTAGACCTGGAGCACCGGGTGCTCTAACCCGGCTAGGACCCGGCCCGGTGCGGGTTTCGACGATCTGAGCCTAACTTGGGCTCGAAACTCGGCTTGGCCAGGAATCTCGGGTCTAGGCCAGGCATTGGCCTGGTTGGTCCAGTCCGGACACCAGTCTGGGTCTGGGCTTTGGGCTCGAATGGACAAGCCTAGGTGAAATAAGCTAAAGTTCAAGGGGGTTTTGTGAGACATTCCATAGTTAGGGGGGTTGTGTGAGATAAACAAAGCTGAAGGGGGTTATGTGCAACACCCCCTCAAAGTTTAGGGGGGTTTTGTGAAATTAACCCTTAAATATTATATGGAATTAGCTTCATTTAACCCTCACATTTTTGTTTCATGTACTCTTAAAGGAATCATTTGTATCTACTTAAGTTTAATACTATTGGTTATTGCGATCATTATTTTTCCATCTTGCAGAAACAGATGGCTATTTCCATGTGAATGCGAAAGTTATAGACTATGTAACCTGGGTACTTCTAATCTAGAGCCGTACCGTACCTGACACGTACCCATACCCACACCCAAACTCCTTGGACACTCCTCGCATATATGTATATTTGGGCATGTACTCAATTATACAATACATGATTTACTTTAAAATACTTGTCGTGCAATTTTTTAACAT